CCACGAGTGAGACCACAGCCGCTTCCTCACTTGCTTCCTCTTCTCTCGTGGCCCTCTGCTCTGGCCGCATCCCGCTCACCTGCACTCTGCGGTTAGCCCTGCCCAGCCTTCTGTTTGTCTTTTTGCATTTTGCTTTTTCTTTGGCCCCCTTAGCAGCACAGGCATCTTAGTTCCCCAAAAAAGTGTTAGTCTCTCCGCTGTGTCCACCTCTTTGCCATCCCCCACACTGTAGCCCACCAGGCTCCTCTGTCCATGTTCTCCAGGCAGGAATACTAGAGTGGGCTGCCATGCCCTTCTTCAGGGGATCTTCCCCACCCAGGGACTGAACCCAGGTCTCCGGCATTGCAGGCAGATTCTTCACCATCTGAGCCACCAGGGAAGCCCTCCAGGGATCAGCTCCATGGCCCCTGCAGTAGAAATGCAGAGTCTTAACCACTGGACCACCAGGGAAGTTCCTTTTTTTTTTTAAATCCCAAGTGAATTTGAAGGAATGACTCTTCAGTAGGAGACTTTGCAATGCTCACGGTTGTGTTAACAATTATCCTGCTTATATTCAGCCTCAAGGTCAGGTTAATTTAGCCTTGTCGAGGTGTGAACAAAGGAAAACCAATCCATCCAGGTGAAACATCACACTCACACAACTACAACTTGGGCATGAAACACATTTATTGAGCAAAACTTTACAAACAACTTTTAAAAAGCACACAGCCACATGTCCAACATAGAAAATATAAAAATTCATCATCTCCTATAAGATTTAACATGTAATAAATGGTTACTCCTTAGTATTGAATGATAGAGAGGAGGCAGTCTCAGAGATATTTCTCAGGTTTTTACTTAGAGACTTAAATTATTTCTTAAGAAACACCATGAGTAAAAGTCACTGCAATGCTGGAGAAATTTTGGTAGCACTCTGTGTGTTTTATAAATACCAGGAAAGTGAGACAATTGTTTGAACTCACCACATGTCTTGGGGGAACACAATCAAATGAGGAAAGTACAGGAAAAGTCAGTAGGTAAATCTGCATGTTCAACTAAATGTCATCATGCAGACAGAAAAATGGCCGGGGAGGGACCACAGAGATAGAGCCAGCAGAAACCTTGGAGACCATTCCCTCCTAACTCTATTTACACAGGAACTCAATGATCCCAAGTCACTTAGTCAATTAGTGGAAGGCCAGAGACTAAAGGGTGATATGAACATGGAAGCCTGGAGAGTAAAAAAGAGTGGGATAGTTATTTTCTCTGGTTGTCTCGACATGACTGCACCTCAGTAAATGAGGGTTTGAAATCCAATCAAAAAGACCTGAAGCTACAAGTTGGTCTGCAAATGGAACAAGAGAGAATCATGCAAACCCTTGGGAGTACAAGGAAAGTCAAATTTATCTTTACTCTCATTAGAGCCTAAGATAATTCTTAACCAGAATTTAAGAGCTATTAAAAAAAAAAAAGCAGCTGAGACAGCCCAGCCGGATGAGGCCAGAGCCAGAATGGACTCGGGGCTTGGAGCTGACCATGAGGTGACAGAAGTCCTGTTTGTACCTCTGAGTAATGAGCTTGCTTTGGCTGCATTAACAATCACAACATGGCTGAGAGGGAAGATCTTTGCAGGGTCCGTCACTCACCCTGGGTCCGAGACACCTTGCCCCATCCTACAGCTCCGATACATGTGGCTCCAGGGGCCAAGCTCATTGTTGGAAACTTGGACTTTGCCCAGACGCATCACCAAAATAACTCTTGCAAAAGGGAAAAATCAACAACGCGGTGTACCAGCCTCAAGAAAGAAAAATGTTCTCCATCCCAACAAGACAGAGCTTGCTGCCAAGTTGTTAATCCCTTGCCTTAAGTGTATTTTTAATCCTCTACTTTCTTGGACACTTTTGCTTTATAGGAGGATTCTTGGGTTTACTAATCAACAGTCACGGGACGGAGGTACCTCCTGTTCAGCCTAGAACATGGAGTCAATTCCAGTCTGTGTTCATTCTCACTGGGGTTCAACTGCTCCATCTGCAGCAAGAGACAGTGACAGACGCTGCAGCCCCTTCTGGCTCCAATACTTGGCTCCCAGGGCCCCGTCCATCGAACTTCCAGGTCAGTGCCTCAACCATCCATGCAGAAACAGCAGCAGCCTGCTCTCTTGGGGCCAGGATCAAAATATACACAACACAGAGATTCCACCACCTAGGAAATCCTCACCTAGGAAAACCTATCTGTGGATCGAGATAACCTTCTTCTTCTCATATAATACATTAAGGCACTGAGCTGATGGCATTTGGGAAAGATTAATTAAAATAATGAAAATACGAGTCATGAGAGAAATCCCTTATTTTAAATATAAAGAATTGCTTCTGCATTTGCTATCCCAGAGAAACAGGAGCAACTCCGTGGTTATGCTGACGATTGCCTTGTTTTTCTCCTTTAAAAAGATATACAAATTCTACTAGAAGGAACTCTTCCTAGCTGCACAAATAGACATTCTATCAGTTAATTTAAAAAACAAGCAAACATGAGAACTAGCAACCTTGGGCTACTGGGGAAAAAACTGACAGATCCCATTAACACAGTCTCTTGTTTCACAGGAAAAGAAGACATAATTTGCCCCAAATGTGTTTTCTGATTATCACAAATTTGGCAATCTGCACCAGTGAGGTAGTTCAGAAGAGATGCAAAGTTGCAAAAGTAAGGACACTGAATCTAGACTCCATCTTCTGTGTGTCCCATGACAGAAATGGAACTTCTACTGGAAGTAGGGATTTTACTCTTAACCCTACACACACAGTAAAGGATCACTCATCATCAGTGATTTATAGAGACTTTGTTTTCACAGTCATGGTGAAGGGTTTGCGTAAATCATGGAGCATCGCTCGCCCTGGTTCCCCTTGAGACAGAGCAAAACTGGCTGGCTTTCATAAGCTCCAAAGCTGCAGCCTTCAGTGAGTGTAACAGACCTAGCTGGGTATAGACAATTTCAATACTTCTAGCTGCAGGACAAAGGAAACGACTGACCCTGTATGTGGTGTGCAAAGGAAGCGGGAGAAAGAAATGTCCAGATCAAACAGCATAAATGCCCATTTTCTTAAGGCAATCACCCTTCCGGTGTCCTGGGGTTATTTTTGTTGTTGTTTTGCTATTTAAATTTCATGGGCAACTACACATTAGATCAGAACTTCTAAAATTGAAGAGATCTCCATCAAATCATACTAATGAATACAATATATTGCTCACATTGTGTTGTAGCAAAAATTCCTATCAAAATATTCCCCTCCCATCTGTAGGACTATATGGGACTTAAAACTATGCTTTGAGTTTAAGAAAGGACTTCTGGCCTGGCTGAATTAAGACCTCTGGAGACCCTAAGAAAGGAAGAGATAAATTCCCTAACACACACCTAAAAATAAGATTTCATGTGTGCTAAAATTAAAGAGACTGATGTCTAGATTTTTTAAAGAACAAAATTCTAGATAAATTAATCAGAGCAGGACTCTTCCCATTTTTCAGGGCTTCTGCTTACTACAGATGGGCTTGAACTGCTCATTAGACAATCCAGTGGAAGCTGGTGGTCAGCCGGGTCCCTCACTACTGTGAGATTAAAATTCATACCATGGTGAAATTGCAAAGGACTGTGTCATGAGATTTACATAAACTTTTCCAAAGGAAGGAAGTTCATGGGTTTTATACTTAAAAGCTTTGGTTATTGTGGTTATTTGGGGCTCACCAATTTGCTCACAAAAACTCACCCCTGATCAGCCACAGTGTTGTTTGGTCACTAAGTCGTATCTAACTCTTTGCAACCCCATGGACTACAGCCCGCCAGGCTCTTCTGTCCATGAGGTTTCCCAGGCAAGAATATTGGAAAGGGTTGCCATTTCCTTCTCCAGCGGATCTTCCCAACCCAGGGATCGAACCTATATCTCCTGCTTGGCAGGCAGATTCTTCACCACTGAGCCACCTGGGAGACAGCTAGAGTGTAGTTGTGTAGTTTCATGTAAATGCTTCTCCTTTTACATTTGTTTGGTATTGAGTAATACAAAAAAGAATTTATAGTCAAATTATCTGCATCTATTAAAACAGGATGTGTCCTGGGAATTCCCTGGCAGTCCAGTGGTTGAGACTCTACTCTCCTTCCACTGCTGAGGCCTGGGTTTGATCCCTGGTCAGGGGAACTAAGATTCCACAAACCATGAAGTGTGGCCAAAAAAAAAAAGAGAGAGAGAGGACAAAGTAGGACGTGTCTTATTCCCAGTTTTGACAAGAAACTGATCTAATTTTAAGACCATGGGTCAGTGGACTCCTGGACAGCCCAACCATATGAAGCCAAAGGGATGCCGGCCTAAAAGTCTTCCACAGAACAATTGAGAAGGTTCCCTTTTCCCTGTATGAAATGGTCTTCTACTCCGGCCATTACCCAGAATGATTGTCTTTGCTGTTGCTAAACTCAATCTAGGCTCTTGCCCAGGACCTGCTGTTTTAAAAATTCTTCACATTATGGCAAAGTTTGTTTGTGTGTTCACCTAGAAATACATCCATTAAACAAGCATTTATTTTATGTGCACCAAGTGTCATAAGTTGACTCAGGCCCATAGGAGACATCCATGAACAGAAAAGTTCCCACTCTTGGACTTGACATTTTGTTTTAGGGAGAATCATCCAACCCAAGTCAACTCTGAACTGGTCACATCTCACCAGAAAAGATGCTTTCTTTCAGAGCTTGTCTTACTTGAAGAGGCCATAAGGAGAGAAAATTAAAGCCCTTGTATTACCATGAAAACCTTTTGGAATTTCATTATCTTGTGTGTGTGTTAGTCACTCAGTTTTGTCTGACTCTTTGCCACCCCATGGAGTGTAACCCACAAGGCTCCTCTGTTCATGGGATTCTCCAGGCAAGAGTACTGGAGTGGGTTGCCATTCCCTTTTCCAGGGGATCTGCCTGACCCAGGGATCAAACCTAGGTTTCCAGCATTGCAGGCAGATTCTTTACCATCTGAGACATTAGGGAAGCCCTTCAAAGTCTTAAAACTCATCAAAAGCATGTTTTCCAAAAGACCTCCTTATCTGTAGCAAATGAACATATTTCTAAGCAAATGACAATGATGAATATTTCTGAGCACGATGAGAAAAAAGAAGAAATGCTCTCATCCACATGGATTTCCATATGGTGGATTCATCTTATTTCCAAAACGGCATAAGAATTCTGCCGTGTTACATAAAAACATGTTGGTTGATATGGATATGACCTAAAGGATCAAATGATCTAAGTCTTAAAATTAACATTATTCACTAACAAATGGTCTATTCAAGCAGGAAAAAAAAAAATGATCACCTCCAGCTCTATACAGGAAATTATTTTACACACTTGTCTCGTAAACGTCCCAGCTGTGCTGAACAACAACTGTCATACTCAGTGAAAACACCACATTAAATTATTGCGATATTCAGTAAAAGGGTCTAATTATCTTTTAAAGCTGTCATTGTTTTTAAGCACATGAATAATTCTAAACCTTTTCTTAACTTGTAAAACAATTTTTACCTTCCTACTTAAAGACACTTAAAAGGCTTATTCATCACCTCCAGCCTCACCCTATAGTCACCCACTGGATTTTTAATTACCACAGATAAACATCAACATCTGTCACCATACATAATATTTTACAGTTGCAAATTTGATTCCATTGTCAAAGAAAAAAATTTATGTAGAATATCTTTTCTTTCAATGGGATGTTCTCTCGCTCTCTTGCATGTCTTCTAAGACAACAGTTATCTAAAAATGAGAGCTTCATTTTCTGGAATACCATACTTCCCTTTGTGTTCTTCAAATAATTTTCTCAGCTCCTCCATGTAGGTCTGATGCAACTCCTCAATCTGCTCTGAGGTTGGGTGCAGGGTCTGATGAACAGGGATTGGGCGGCCAACTGCAAAAAACAAAGAATGCATCATTAAGTAAGAAACCAAAAAGCACTCCACCACGGACTACCACCTCTAATGGACAGCCCTAGAAAGGCCTTCCAATCAGAAGCTGTCAGGCCTGCCCGCTCCCATCCCTTCTTCATTTTACTGGCTGCCTGCAGTGGTCACACCACCTCTTCTGGTGACAAATAAAGAGCCTTCCTTCTCCGCACATGCTGGATTCTCAGGCCACTGGTGGTTTTGACTTGGAGTCAAATAAACTACTGTGCTGGCTGCAGCTGTGGGGTACGAGCACACGGCTGTGTGTGCACGTCACCAGCTCTCTCCCTCTGGTGCAGCTGACAGCCAGACCACACTGCTCTATTATCACTGCCCCGGGGAAGTCTTGCCTCATGAGCCATCAACCCTCTCATCTGGCTCTTTGTAACATCATCCTATTAAATGAAAAGAATATACATCTCCACTGCCGAGTATCTGGACTAGAAAACACATCTAATCACAAGGGTTCCACTGTATGTAACGGCAGAAAACAAAACCAACCAAAAAATCTTCATACAGAAAATCATTAAACAAATCACAGACCATTCATTCAATGGAATTCTAGGCAGCAATTTGTTTTTGAAAACTGAAATAATATTTTGGAAACCATGTATGGTGACTGATATTAAATAGACTTACTGTGGTGATCCTTTTACAATACATACAAATGTCAAACCAACACTTGAAACTAGTCTGTTTATATATCTCAATGTAAAAAATGAAATATATATGTGTGTTCACACATATGCAAAAGTCTAAAATGCAGTAGGCAGGGGAAAGTTGTAAAATAATATAGCATAATTGTATTTATTGAAAATGTTCTATATCTAGGTGCATTATAAGCTTTTAGTCTACTAAGAAAGTCAGCCAAGAGACACTGCTAGCCCTTACATGGAGGGAAGAAGGGAGAGCTGGGGGACTTATATTTTATCTGTATTGTGTCAATTTTCTACAATGAGAAGGCACTAGTATTACCTGTATAATTAAAAAACGGACTAAAGTTTTAAGACCTAGCATTTATATAATAAATAACTTTTACCTCCCTTGTCTCAGATTTTTAAAGACTAGATACACGTGGCTCTCCCGCCTGCTCTTCAGTCCTCGCTGCTGTGCATTGCGCCCTCTGTTGGCCTGATGATGCTACTAATGCCAAGAGTTGCGAATGTACAGGATGGTCAACGCCAATCGCTGAGCAGCAAACTGCTTTTTTTTTTGATCGGCTTCCGCATGAGGTCAAGTGGGGCTGTAGTAACAGAATGGCACTCGTAGGGCTTCCTTTGCCCACGTGGAGTCTCCCCATGCTACCTCCAAGGCTCAATCCATGTCAGTAACAAAGCAGGATTAGTTAAAGAGAAACCAGAGAAAGAAGATGTGATAAATAACAGCAGAAAGAAGTGTGAAATAGTGTGGGAGGTTAGGGAGCACAAGGAAGGGAGTGATACAGACACACACACGTGTGTATCATAATGCATCATGCATTAAGATCTATATCTATATTTATATACAAGGTTATATACAATCTATCCATCCTGTGTGTGTGTATGTGTGTGTGTGTGTGTGTGTGTGTGTATCCTCACTGCAACATTAGTATTTTCAAATTCCTATATTTTTAACTAGATATAGCCTCAAGAAGCTCATGTAGAGTTTTCCTTGAAAGCTTGGATGTCAAACATATATAGTAGGCAGCAGTCCTTTGTGATTCAACATAACAGTATCACCGTCAGTTGTGGTTGCTTCCCCCCCCCCCCCACATGGTTTGTGAGATCTTAGATCCCCAACCAGGAACTGAACCCAGGTCCAGGGCAGTGAAAGCACCAAGTCCTAACCCATGGGCCACCAGGGAACTCCTATTGGTTGAAACACAGACTAGGAGAGGCTGAAAATGGACGGAAACAGGAGCTAGTGTTGCACAAGAGGCACCAGGCTAGACCACATCCAGGGCTAACTCCCCAGCAGGTACACCCAGCTAGTAAGTAACTTCCTCTCTGACCTTAATTTTCACATGTATAGGATAAACGTCATCTAGTCAAAGCTATGGTTTTTCCAGCAGTCATGTATGGATGAGAGTTGACCATAAAGGCTGAGTGCCAAAGGATTGATGCTTTTGAATGTGGTGCTAGAAAAGCCTCTTGAGAGTCCCTTAGATAGCAAAGAGATCAAACCAGTCAGTCCTAAAGGAAATCAACCCTGAATATTCATTGGAAGGACTGATGCTGGAGCTGAAGCTCCAAAACTTTGGCCACTTGATGTGAAGAACCGACTCACTGGAAAAGACCCTGATGCTGAGAAAGATTGAGGGCAGGAGAAGGGGAGGGACAGAGGATGAGATGGTTGGATGGCATCACTGACTCAGGGGACATAAGTTTGAGCAAGCTCCAGGAGATAGTGAAGGACAGGGAAAACTGGCATGCTGCAATCCATGGAGTTGCAAAGAGTCAGACATGACTTAGTGACTGAACAACAATAGGATAAAACAATAGGTGATCTTGAGGCTTCCTTCTAGCTGTAAGGCTTCCTTCATGGCCCAGACAGTAAAGAATCTGCCTGCAGTGCAGGAGGTCCAGGTTCAACCCCTGGGTCAGGGAGATAGCCTGGAGAAGGGAATGGCTACCCACTCCAGTATTCTTGCCTGGAGAACCCCATGGACAGAGGAGCCTGGCAGGTTCTAGTCCATAAGAAGGCAAAGAGTTGGACATGACTGGATAACTAAGCACACACACATTTCTAGCTCTAATCTTTGTTGTTGTTTGACCCTCCTCCCCCAAAAATAGAAATCTACATGCATAGTGAGAAATCTACCTGTAAATCTACTAGCAAATTTGTGGTTTCATAGAAATGGGTTTGTTTTCTTGTGAAGTTATCATGGAGAGAGATTAAATGCAACTATTCTGGGTGGGAGGGGGGATTTATAGTGATACAGGGTCTAAGTGGTCTGAGAAGATGAAGTTTTTTATTTTGTTCCTAGATTACTCATATTGTTGTTGTTCAGTCTCTAAGTTGTGTCAGATGCTTTTTGTGATTCCATGGGCTGTAGCCTACCAGGCTCCTCTGTCTATGGGATTTCCCAGGCAAAAATACTGGAGTGGGTTGCCATTTCCTTCTCCAGAGGATCTTTCCAACCCAAGGATCGAACCCATGTTTCTTGCATTGGCAGGCAGATTCTTTACCACTGAGTCACTTGAGAAGCACTTAACTTCAATTAGGACTTCTGAATTCTGAATTATTGAGTCCTGTTTCCTATGAGCTAGCCTACAGTTCAGTTCAATCCTGTTCTTTTCCTACTAACAGTTTTATTATATTTCAAAGAGCTCAAACATGCCCACGTACATTGAATTTACCATAAGACTTTTCCCTTCAAACTGTGATTGTTTTTTTCTTATTTAACCTGTACAGAAAGTGAGATGCTGAACACTTCCAAACTTCATACACACATACACAGAAACAAACAAACAGAAACCAAAGGGAATTAAGATTTAAACCCAACACTTTTGCCCCTCATTACTAAACTAACCCAAAATTGGATTGGAGAGTAAGAAACTTTTCTAATTACTTTTTAGGGATAAAAACAGAGGTAACAAAAGAAAAACCTGCAAATCTGAGAAGCACCTTCGGAGCCCTAGAAGATCAGAATTCCCTCTTTCCAGAAAAAGGAGATTTTTACTAGTAAGGAGAAGAAAGCTGTTTCAACATGAGACTGGGTTAGCTGCAGACTGCTACATGACTTCCTCTTTATAATACAAAGGAAAAACCAGTTAGTTGTATCAGTTTATTCTGGAGGTAGAACTCATCGTCCTGGAAAAAATCAGCTAAAGTCTACTTGTGGCAGAGGTGGGAATCAGCTCTCATTTGTGTTTTGGTGCTTTTTATAGCTGGCATGCTCCTACACTTTCCAATTCCATCCAGCAGTTCAGGATTAGTTATGTCTTTATTGCCTTACGTAGCAGTCTTGCTCTAATTTTCTGTGATATTATTCTGTATTTCCCCAGATGAAGAATGAGCAGCTTCATGAGTTGTATTTTCAACTGGAAAAGAGCTGTCCATTATTTTCTTCTCATTGAGGCAAAGAGTAGATCTTTTACAATAAGGAGTCTTTGTTCTATTTTTCTGTGATTATGAAAATTCTGCCGAGTTTCTCTCTCTAATGGTCTCATGGAGGAATTCCTTTTTCTTTAGATGCTACATTGCCATACACTAGAGAGAGAGACCAGGCAGAGAGCTGGGCAGAGTGGGGTTGGGAAGACTCAAAACCTGGGTTCAAGTACAACGTCTGGCTTACAATGGAGTCGCATGCCCAACGTAGGCGTGTGTGTGTGGGTATGCATACACATGCACATACACACATACATCAACATACACACTCATGAACATTTATTGAGCACTTAATATGTTGTACGGGGCACCATGCCAATCCCCTAATTACTACCTCTTAGGTGGCACAGTGGTAAAGAATCTACTTTCCAATGCAAGAGAAGCAAGAGATGCAGGTTTGATTTCTGGGTCAGGAAGATCCCCTGGAGGAGGAAATGGCAACCCACTCTAGTATTCTTGCTGGAAAATTCCATGGACAGAGGAGCCTGGTGGGCTACAGTCCATGGGGTTGCAAAGAGTCAGACACGACGGAATGACTGAGCACAGCAACAATCCCTACTTTATAATTAAAATTTAAATTAGGTTCCTTTTTTCTTTCTATTGGGTTGGCCAAAAAGTTTGTTCAGATTTTTCAGTACAATGTTATGGAAAATCTTAAAGAACTTTTTGGCCAACCCAATATTTCAGAAAAATCCCTTAGCCGTTTTATCCCTCAGGGTAGAATAACTAATTGAAATAAAATGGACTAGTTTTGTCCTCAAGTGGGATCCAGATCAGTTTTATTTAAATAAGGTACATTCCCTTTCCTAAAGGGAATATAAAAAAAAAATTCAAACCTATAGAAAAAATAATATAATAAGCACTTGCATGCACTTCCTCTAGACTCACCAATTTCAAACATTTTGCACACACATACACAGTATATATATAGATATACACGTGTATTATTATTTTTGTTTTTGTAGAACCATTTGAGAATAAGTCATAGACATCATTGATTCAATCATGCTCATGCCATAAAGACAAAGAAAAACTGCTCATTCCATAAAGACAAAGAAAATTTTAAAAACTAATCCAGTTTAAAGTAGACTAATGAAATGTGAAAATTAAACGCAACGTATGATCCTGCTTTGGGAAAAAATACTGCCCTTCACCAAAACTCACAACTAAAAAGAAAGTGATTGTGGCAACTGATGAAATTTGAATATGGAGTGTACACAGTTAATAGCATTTAACTGATGTTAAATTCCTGTATCCTACTGATACTATGAAAGAGAATAATCTTGTCCTTAAGAGAGATACATAAAAGTAATGAGGAACAAATGGTCATGTTGTCTGCACTTACTTACATAGTTCAGTGATAACAATAACATGAAGTGTATTTGTGATATTATTAGAGAGAGAAAAAAACTGTAGCAAAAGTGTTAACAAGTGGTGAGTCTAGGAAAAAGGAACATAGGAGTTCATTTTACTACTCAAGAGACTTTTCTGAGCATTTGAAATTTTTCAACATGAAATTTTAAAACTCAAAACCAACACCTACTACAACACATGAAATTTCCTCTTTTAAATAGCAAGTTTCCCTTGTATTTTACTTTCTTGCCCAAACAACTTTCCATCACATTACTGGTACTGGCTCTACAGCTTGAACTTATTAGTAAATTGAGGGACTTTCCTGGTGGTCCAGTGGTTAAGGCTTCGCCTTCCAGTGTAGGGGGTGAGAATTTGATCCCTGGTCAGGAAGCTAAGATCCCACAAGCCTCACGACCAAAAAACCAAAAACATAGAAACAGAAGCAATATTTGAACAAAGTCAATAAAGATTTTCAAAATGATCCACATCAAAAAAATCTTACAAAAAATAACATGTGTATGTGTATGCTCAGTCATGTCCAACTCTTTGTGGACTGTAGCCCACCAGGCTCCTCTCTTCATGGCATTTCCCAAGCAAGAATACTGGAGTGGGTTGCCGTTTCCTTCTCCAGGGGATCTTCCTGAACCAGAAATCGACCTCACATCTCCTGCATTAGCAGGCCGGTTCTTTACCACTGAGCCGTCTGGGAAATTTATCTAAAATTTTTGTTACTACATACTTGTTCGACTTCTGAAAACTTGAGAATTACAATCAGGCCTAACTAAAGACTAATTTGTTGATTCACAAATGTGTCTTGAGCTCCTACCCTGAGAGCACTGGGGACACAGCAGAGAATAAATACAGCAAAACCCCTGCCACCTGGAGCTCTGCGAGGCAGAAACAAAGAAAAAGCAACATTCTTGCAAGGAACTGGGACTTTTTACAGCTGTTCTTGAAGTCTAAACTCACGTCCTTTTTCTCTCCCAGTTGTTATGATAGATGGGATATTGAAATCAGCTCCTCTCTATTATTATGGAATAAAATACAACCTATGTGAACAGTTTATTCTACTTTGATAAACTGGTAATAACTCAGACAAAATATGTAAATGACATACTACTTGTGACACATACATAGAAAATGTATATGTGTGTACCACACATGGTAGTTTCTTTATAAATTATGTCCAATGAGAATGACCCTGAAAAATCATATCATATAATTTCCCTCATATCCCCCCAAAATACCAATGACCATACTCTGCACGTAAAGGATCAAAACTAATATTATGACCAAAAAATGGAACCACTTATCTTGAAAAATATAACTGCAAGCTTAACTTATCTCAGTATTCCTATTACACTGATTAATCAACTGTTAATATTCCATTTGAGTTAAAAACAGCAGTTTAAAAAATGTCACGTGACTGCAGGTGAACGGCAAAGCTGTTACAAACTGACAGCAATAAACTCCCATTCCAAGGGAATAGATCAAAAAAATGCTTGAATTTCATTTAATGGACCATTCATGGTGAAATTATTACTTCCATTTCATATGTGTATATAGTCTGGCTAATCTTGCTATTAGAAATCCACTCAGCACTTTCTCCTTTTCCACTCTCCAAACCCCTTTTCAACCTCAGGCGCGATTATTTTCCTCCTCTGTTCTTCAATAACATGGTTCTTACCCTCCTCCCCTATCTCAATGCCCCCCCAACCCAAACATGCCATTTTTAAAAGGAAAATCAGTCTGCGAGTGAGTGCTCAGTTGCTTTAGTCGTGTCTGACCCTTTGCATCTCTCTAGACTGTAGCCTGCCAGGCTCCTCTGAGATTCTCCAGGCAAGAATACTGGAATGGGCTGCCATGCACTCCTCCAGGAGACCTTCCCAACTGAGGGATTAAACCCACATCTGCTACACTGCAGGCAGATTCTTCACCCATTCAGCCACCTGGGAAGCCCTATATTAGAATACAAATAAGTATACCTAATTGGGAAAAAAATGCTTTGTGATAGAAACTGATGCCTGTGTGAACTAAACGTGATGAAGACATTTATTATACACAAATTTTCACAAGAGACTCTAAGGTAATGTATTCAAAGACTTGCTATGTTATCATCTTCTGGAAGAGAAATAGATTCATCATAGAGTATTAGAAATTCTAGTTGTAAAATTGGATTCTACTTGGAGTGCAATAACAATGTTTTTGAAAGTAGTTGATTCCCATTCAAATGGAAAATATAGTCATTTCATAAATAAAAGGCATACTATAAAGGAAGGTCAAGTAACATCTATAGGACAATTATTTTAGGAAGGTCTTACTCAAAGCTACTTCAGTAACAATAAACATTGGTCAAAGTAAGATATTCCTCTCAATTTAACAAGCCTCCAGTATTTGATGTACATACCAACAGTGTGAATGGGTTTCCTATAGGGCATTAGTCCAAAATTGTACTGAAAAATTCCTCTGGCGTGGAACAGTGGCAAAGCAAATCCCATGATCTTCTGTAGTTTCTCTTGCACATTTCGAAGCCATGATCCTTCGGGGTTGCTAACTTGTTTAAATAGTTCATTTTCACCAAAAGAAAACACTGGCACCAAATAAGCACTGGAAATAACGAGGAAGAATCAGCATTTTCAATGAAAAGGATTTAAATATTTCATTTAGCACAGCTGACCTGCAACAGATTCCTCATGATTGTTTAATGTCCCCAAGCCTCCTTGGAGTGCTAAATTTATGTTCCATGTATTGAAACTGAATTACTTCTGAAGTCCTTTGGGGAGGCACCTCAGCTGTCTTAGTGATTTGTGGAATTTTATTCTATAGAAAATCAAGGTTCCAGGAAGTTTCTTTTTCATTTATGGTTTTGGCCATGGTTCATTTGTTCATTTGGTTGGAAATCTATACTGTGCCTATGAAATTTTGTATTTTGCTTGTTTTGCTCTTATAGAAAAGTTGAATGGCTGGATGCCAAGACACTGAGTTATCTTAGAGGGAAGGTTGTCTTCTATTTCCCATAAACATTTACATCTGTATTCACTGGAAGGTCAGTGATGAGGTCTGCTTTTAAGGGCCATAAAGATTACTTCTTTGAGTTCTCTTAATAATGGGTTAGCTTCCCTGACCCAGTTGCCTGAAATGAAAAGCCACTTACCCATGGGTCAAAGCAATTTTCACAAATCCCTTCCGCTGGCGGATGAACAGAGTGAACTTTCCAGGATGGGCATCCAGTGATTCCTCTGCACCCCCAAGCACAATGACTGAGATGTTTCCGCCTCCCTCTTTGCTTAACACGTGGGACACACTTTTCTTGGAAACTGAGACTGGCCCTTAGTGAATAAAACAAAAGGTGTTAACTAATTGCCCTTTAACATTCTTATCTTAAGAATCTATGGCAACAGTCCGAATCCTTTTTGGCACCAGGGACTGGTTTCATGGAAGGCAATTTTTCCACAGGCTGGGCGATGGGGGATGGTTTGGGGATGATTCAAGTGCATTCAGACTGGTTCCAAATAGGAAAAGGAGTACATCAAGGCTGTATATTGTCACCCTGCTTATTTAACTTATATGCAGAGTACATCATGAGAAATGCTTAAAGTTATGACCAACCTAGACAGTATATTAAAAACCAGAGATATTACTTTGTCAACAAAGGTCCATCTAGTCAAGGCTATGGTTTTTCCAGTAGTTATGTATGGATGTGAGAGTTGGACTATAAAGAAAGCTGAGCACAGAAGAATTGATGCTTTTGAACTGTGGTGTTGGAGAAGACTCGTGAGGGTCCCTTGGACTGCAAGAAGATCCAACCTGTCCATCCTAAAGGAGATCAGTCCTGAGTGTTCACTGGAAGGACTAATGTTAAAGCTGAAACTCCAATACTTTGGCCAGCTGATGCAAAGAACTGACTCATCTGAAAAGACCCTGATGCTGGGAAAGAATGAAGGCGGGAGGAGAAGGGGACAACAGAGGATGAAATGGTTGGGTGGCATCACTGACTTAATGGACATAAGTTTGAGTAAACTCCGGGAGCTGGTGATGGACGGGGAGGCCTGGTGTGCTTCAGTCCATGGTGCTGCAAAGAGTCGGACACGATTGAGTGACTGAACATTTATTGTGCACTTTATTTCTAGTATTATTATATCTGCTCCATTTCAGGTCATCAGGCATTAGGACCCAGAATTTGGGAACCCCGGATTTATGGCACTAGCAAATATTAAACAAAATTTCCTGCACGGCTTATATTTGGAGCACTATGTGGGTTTATAATTTTTCCATAGCCAAATCTTCGATAATAGATTCCATTAATAAGATCTAACATTTTGGCAGGTGATGGGTTAGGTCTTTAAAATGTCACTTGATTATTACTAGGTCTACCAGTTGCTTGAGTAAGTTATGTACTGCTGAATTCTACAGATTCCACTCATATTGCATTTTAAGTAAAAGGTCTGCTGAAGTTGTTCAGTGCTAACCTGCACAGCTGTATGTGGTAGTCTTGATCATTACCCCAGCAGATCCTTGCTCAGAACCAAACAATATACCCTCCAAGAGGTTGCACTGATCTTCTGTATACCAATGATTTGTTTTCAGGTATTCTATATGGATTTTTATTTCTCAAGCATGGATTTATAATGTAAATGGTTTCCAAAAAAATTCAGACATCTGACAAATAACCTCTATCAGTTGCTAAATCTGTGCATGGTTCTAAAATGTCTAGTTTGACTTTGGTAAATTGTTTAAGACATAAGTTACATAACTGTTCAATCTTTATATGAGGCTTTCCCATGTAAAAATAAGCTTAAAGATTCCTTTTCAGATTTTAAAAGCACAATGTACTCTTGGAGGAAAATACTATGAACTCTTGAAGAAAAAGAATAAAGAAGAAAACACAAACAACTCATGACCCATAATTCAGAGATAATCCCTTCTTAATGTCTTATTGTTTCCTTCCATTCTTGATTTTATCCTTTTTGTTTTTTTAGTCATAAAAGAATGTGCTAACTTTATCAAGACATAGCACTTCATCTCTTGAAGGAAATTACATGCTCATTTTACTGTGCATTTCTATTGCTGGGGGAATATAAAATAAGGACAGGCTTCTGAAAAACCAGCTACTCTCTGCAAAGAAGCAGAGAAGAAGCAGAGGAGAGTGGGTTAGCGGGTAGAGAACCTGGGCACAGAGGGATGTGAACTCTCGTTGAGTTCAGGGCATGGCCATTCTGCTCTGCATGCCCTGAATGAGAGCTGGAGGCATCATTTCCACTGAAAAGAGAGCCCCTTGGATTTTCAGACACCTGGCAATCCTCTCTGCCTCTGTCCACTTCTCAGTTTCCTCCTGAGGCTACCCTTCTTCAGACCATGCTTAAAAGTTGGTGTTTCTCAGGTCTCTTAGGGACTAAATGTTTATATTCCTCCAAAATTCATAGGTTGAAACTCTAACCCTTAATAGGATGGTATTAAGAGGTGGGGCCTTTGGGAGATAATTAGTTCATAAGAGTGGAGGCCTCCTGAATGGGATTAATGTTTTTATTATTTATTTATATATTCTAATTAATTAATTTAGCTGCTCAGGGTTTTAGGCACAGCACTCAGGATCTTTAGTTGTGGTATGAGAACATGTGGGATCTTGTTCCCTGACCAGGGATCGAACCCAGGCCCCCTGCATTGGGAGCGTGGAGTCTTAGCCACTGGGCCACCAGGGAAGTCCCAGGATGAATGTTCTGATAGGAAGAGAACAAATCTAGTTTGTTCTCTTTTCACTACGTGAAGATACAACAAGACAGCTATCTGCAAACCAGCACATGGGCCATCACCAGACATCAGATCGTCCCAGCCTTCAGACTGCGAGAAATAAATTTCTACTGTTCAAGCTATCCAGTCTGCAGTGTTCTCTTATAGCAGCCGATGTCTTTAACCTCATCTCTCCACAAGGATTCAACCACCAACCACGTGTGCTGAGTTCTCCCAAACCCACATACAGGGAGTTTTTCTCCTGAGGCTCCAGGCCTATATCTCCTGTTGCTCAAAGGACATCTCTACCTCAACAGCTTAGAGACACCTCAGACTCCATGCTTCCCAGCCCAGTGCATGAAATTCTTCCACAAAGTTGTTTCTCTCCCAATATTATTTATCAAAGCGATTGGGACTATCATCTATCCAGTCACCCAAGTCAGAATGTAGGTTCCTCCCATATACAGTCCCCTCTTTTCATTCACCATGTTCATTCATCACTCATTCATTTGTTCATTCATTCAAAAACACTTACTGAACATCTGCTACAGGTAAGATACTGTGCTAGATGCTGATAAGACAATGAAATACAATTGCTGCCCTCACGAGGCTGAATCAGTCACTAAATTTTGTTGCACTGTGTGTGTGCTCAGTCACGTCTGACTCTTTGCGACCCCATGGACTGTAGCCCACCAGGCTCCTCCACCCATGGGATTTTATAGACAAGAATCCTGGAGTGGGGTGCCATTTCCTCCTCCAGGGTATCGTCTCGACCCAGAGATTGAACCTGCATCTCTTGAGTCTCCTGCATCAGCAGGTGAATTCTCTACCACTAAGCCATTTGGGAACCCCAAGTTTTATAGACTCTATCAACTATTTTTCATATCGATTCCTTGTTCTCTAGTTCCACTACCATAGCCACTGTGCCAGTTTAGCCCTTATCACCTGTCCCTTGATGACTGAAATAGGCCCTTTCATCTTCACAGTCTCCAGGCTCATCTCCCTCTAACTTATCTCCAAGCTGCTCCAAGCTGCTGCTTGCATGACTTACTGCACAAAATCCTATCAGGTCCCTACTTTGCTCAAAATCCCTCACAAGTTCCTCATAGCTAACCTACAAGAAAAAAATCTAAAGTGTATATATTATAGATCAGGCTGCTATGATCTGATCTCAACTGCCTGCTCACCTTTAATGAGTAGACAGAAAGGAACATGAGCCTTGAAACACAGTGTGGGCTCTAGTCAACACCCGCTGAGTATTGATTCACCAAAATGGCCCAAGAGGAATGGCATGGATGTGGAACTTGCAAAGACTTTCAGCCACAGAAATCTTGGTAAAAGTAAAACACCATCAGCAGAGGATTTCTGAAACACTGTGGGCTACTTAGAGCTTCCGAAGGTAGAGAATCTCAGTGGTAAAGAATTCACCTGCCAATGCCAGAGACATGGGTTCAATCTCTGGGTCAGGAAGATCCCCTGGAGAAGGAAATGGCATCCCACTCCAATATTCTTGCCTGGAGAGTTCCATGGACAGAGGAGCCTAGCTGCTGCAGTCTGTAGGGTCGCAAAAAGTCGAACACAACTTAGCGACCAAACAACAATGGATTCCTTACTACCTGAGGTCTGGGGCACATGGATGTCTGTCCTTCCCACCCAGAGAGGCAGTCACCAAGGCAGGTGCCTAGCACAGGGGCAGCTTCTGACCAGGGGCAGTCCTAGGAAGCCAGTTGTAGGAAGGGATGAGAACTCCCTAAACTTAGAGACAAGGACAGTCCAAACATCCCTGGTTACAAGTGTGGGTGTTTTTATTTAGCTTTGGGACATAGGAGGTGACAGCAATGAGGAAGATCTCCTGATATCATAAGCCAGTGACAGGAGACCAGCTTCATCTCAAATGCCAGTTCTAGAAAACAACAGTGGCACCACGTGGACAAAGACCCTATCATTAGTTATTTGTAGTTGACATGGCCTTGCAGAGGGTATGCCTTCATCTCTCCGGCCACAGATTTGCCACACCTGCTTCCAAATACACTACCCAAACTCGCCTGTGGCTATACTTTGAATCAGCAAACAGTATAATGTAAATGGGGCTTGCCTAGTGGCTCATAGGGTAAAGAATTTGCCTGCAATGCAGAAAATCTGGGTTTGATCCCTGGGTCAGGATCCCCTGAAAAAGGGAAAGGCTATCCACTCCAGTATTCTTGCCTGGGAAATCCCATGGACAGAGAAGTCTGGCAGGCCACAGTCCACGGGGTCACAAACAGTAGGACACGACAGAGTGACTAACACACACACATAATGTGATATACCTCTGTGATTTTTTGAAATTAAAAAAAAACCTTTTCATTTTAACTTTCTTCCTTTTATAAAGCTAACCCAGTATCTGCAAAAGAGGAAAGAGAAGGGATTTTTTTTTCCCCCACTTAGTTCAGGAGATGGTGGCGGGGGTAGTGCGGCCTCTAGTGGCCAGATGAAGGGACAGCCTAAACTGGACACAGCCCAGGGTTACATGTGTGAAGAAGGTTCATAAACAGAACCTGGAAACCCAGGCAAGGATGCTGGCCCTTTGGTGTTTAGTGATTTCCAACAAGCTATCTAATGACAACAGAGAATTGAGAAATTAATAGGAAGTGATAAAAACCTGAAAGACCATGAGCAATTCTATCTCTGAATAAGCTCTGATCCTGAAATTACAATTTTCCCAAGAGATTATCCATTTTTCATTATGTCCAAGAAATGCAAAGACAATAATAATTAACCTACACAATGATCATAAACATAAAGCTCTTTGTAAGTTACAAATTGGTCAAGTTGGAAAACCAAAAAAAATGAGCCTCTTAAGTTGAAATAAGACCCATTAACACAATCTTAGGCTTCTGGATACACTCATATAAGATCTTTACAGCATTTTTACTGAATTTTATTCTCAGAATTTGGAGAATTATGGTTTCCCTAATCTGAAAGTCTTCCACTAGTTCAGAGTAGCAGAGTAAAATTTCTGAGCCAAGTTGTACTTAATCTGGGAGGAAAAAGACAGCAGATTCAGTGTGTTTAGTTTATAAATTGCCATTATTCCAAGACACATTGGAGGCCATTTTCAATTTCTACTATTCATAAAAGCAGACAAAGCACCTCTCCAAAGGTACCATTTATTACTTATTTGCTCCAAGCATGATTCTTTCTCATCTGGATTCACAAAATGCATTCATTAATTTATACTTTCATTGAATTAACATCTATTGGACATTCCTAAATCCCAGGTACTATGCTAGATACTATGCTAGCCACTTGGAGAATTATGGGGGGAAAAAATACAGTCTTGCAGGTCAAACAGTAAAGAATCTGTCTGCAGTGCATGAGATCCAGGTTTGATCCCTGGGTCAGGAAGATCCCCTGGAGAAGGAAATAAGGAAATAGCAACCCACTCCAGTATTCTTGCCTGGAGAAACCCATGGACAGAGGAGCCTGGCAGACTACAGTCCATGGGGTTGCAAAGAGTTGGGCACGACTAGGCGACTAACACTTTCAATTTCTTTCTGTCTTACTAGTGTTTCCAGTCTGGTGGGGGAAAGCAAGAACCATCGAAAGGGCATATGAGTGTGACACAGGGATGGACACAGAGTTGTACTCTAAGAAAACATAAACCTGGTTGGTTTGAGAGAGAACATTTTGTGTGGTCCTGCCACCCCAGAACACTGTGGAAATAGTGATCTGCCTTCACTTACCACTACTCATCAGATATTCCCGGAAGAATGGACACCGGAACCAATATGGCAGCACATGAAGATAGGAGGTAAGGCCGGGAAACAGCTCCTTGAAGTTGGAATAATTTGTACAAAAGTTTCCAAAGGCTCCAACCACAAGCACTCCATGAGGGTGAAACCCAAATATGTAGTTGTGACTCGGATCCAAATCCCAAGTTTTGATGAGCTATGGTGCGTTTATGTTGACATAAAAAAATAAAATGTTGCCAGATTAGTTTCCAATAAGAAACAAAAGGATGTAGTTCTACATTCAAGAGGAAATGGAAAGCTTGACTTGTTTTAGTTTCCTGGGATAATGTGTGTTAGTCTTTCAGTCATGTCAGACTTTTTGCGACTTTATGGATTGTAGCCTGCCAGGCTCCTCTATCCGTGCAAGAATACTGGAGTGGTTTGCCATTCCCTTCTCCAAGGGATCTGCCTGATCTAGGGATGAACCCAAGTCTCTCCCACTGCAGACAGTTTCTTCACCATCTGAGCCATCAGGGAAGCCCTCCCTGGGGTAGAGCTGTATTCACATTTTTCAGCTGTGTCCTGAGTCCTTCGAACACAGCCTTCTAAATTTTGTCAATTTAGCTTAGAATCCATTTAGTAAGTTGGGCTGAATTGCAGGGACTCTTCCTCTAAAAAGGGAGAAGCTTGAAAAATACGTGATAAAAACACATTTGCATTTTTTTCTTAGCTCAAAACCATACTATGTAAAACAATTCTACTCACATGAATTGGAAAATAGTCCTTAAAGTACCTCCAAATGGTCCAGCTTCTGACCCATTCGGATCTTCTGCCTCCTTGCTCCGGGGTTTGCCAGTCAAAGTAAAGCCATGTCAAGTAAGGAAGGTAGAGGAACCAGTAGTTGCGTATGATCAGGAACACAATAATCCCGAGGCATACCTGTGCTGTAAGAAAGGGGAAGACCTCAGGAAGTGCGGTCATTAGAATCTGCCCACTGTTCCTACAATCACTGGTTCAAGGTGTCGTCGTTGTTGTTGTTCAGTCGCTAAGTTGTATCCAACTCTTTGCGACCCATGGACTGCAGCATGCCAGTCCTCTGTCCTCCACCATCTCCCAGAGTTTGTTCAAATTCATGTCCACTGAGTCAGTGATGATATCTAACCATCCCATCCTCTGTTGCTCCCTTCTCCTCTTGCCCTCAATCTTTCCCAGCATCAGAGTCTTTTCCAGTGAGTTGGTTCTTTGCATCAGGTGGCCCAAGGTAGAAGGATCTAATATATACAAAGTATGTTTAAGTGAGCCTCAGTTCAACTGAGGCAGTGTAACAAAACAGCATATAGTATGACTTAACATTTCTTGGATGTATAGTATATGGCAACTTCTATATTGTGGGTGTCACCAAAATATTTTTAAGTTTAATCCTCATATAGCCACAACATCATTGAAGCAGCCAGAACATTCCTAATGTTGTTTGTTCCTTTTTTTCCTGGGCTTCAATTTATTTTGTTTTTTAAAAGTCTAGAAAGTAATTTTTCACATAACAGTATAATTTAGAAGTGAGATACATTTTTTAGCTTTTTATTTTCATACATAGTTGATTAACAATGTTGTATTAGTTTCAGGTGTAAAGTGATTCAGTCATATGTATACTTGTCTGCATGCTTGTGTGTGCATGCTAAGCTGCTTCAGTTGTGTCCGACTCTTTGCAACCCTGTGGACCACAGCCCGCCAGGCTCCTCTGTCCAAGCAATTCTCCAGACAAAAATACTAGAGTGGGTTGCCACTTCCTCCTTCAGGGGATCTTCCCAACCCAGGGATCAAACTCTCATCTCTTATGTCTCCCACACTGGCAGGCAGGTTCTTTGCCACTAGCACCACCTAGGGAGCCCAATACTTGTGTCTATTCTTTTTCAAATGCTTTTCCTTTTTAGGTTATTACATAATATTGAGCTAATGTAATTTTTATAGTAGTGAAAATTGCAGCTTAAGGAGATTAAGTGAATTGCTCAAGACACACAAATTGCAAGTGATTGACCCGTCTAAATTCAAGGTCCATTCTCAAAGTCCATGACCCTACACCGCCACCCCACTGCATCCCCAGTGCGGAGGAACTGTTGTTGACAAGACGGATGCAGAAGAGTTCCTACTACAAGTATTCACCTTGATTGAGCAGTTATTCATCATATGCCCATGAAAAGGGCACATTCCACTGAGAAACTTCATTTTCAGGAACTCTATTGCCAGAGATAGAAACAAAATAGAAGAAACTCTGTGCCTTAGCTCACCTACCACTTCTTGCATCATTTCACGGCAGAGCAATTCTAATTATTTGTGCACCTAATGACGGAGGCTCAAATAGATGAAGCAGGAACTGATAAAACTTGACCTGGGCAATAGTGACAAGAATATTTGCCTTTAAGTAATACATTAAGCTAAGCTACACATTTTTTTATGTCGATGCTGTGCATGCGTGCAAAGTTGCTTCAGCCATATCTGATTCTTTGTGACCCCATGGACTGTAGTCCACCAGGCTCCTCTGTCCATGAAATTCTCCAGGCAAGAATACTGGAGTGGGTTGCCATGGCCTCCTCCAGGGGATCTTCCCGACCCAGGGATCAAACCTGTGTCTCTTATGTCTCCTGCATTGGCAGGTGGGTTTTCTTTACCACTAGTGCCACCTGGAAAGCCCACATGTCTATGCTGTGTGTCAGGTTTTTTAAAATTATAAAAAGAAAAATATATCAATGGGGAAGAGCACAGAGACTTAAAGCCTGGCACAGAGCAAGTGCTCAACAAATGCCAGCCATTACTATTGCTCTAAGGAGTAGCATTGCCTCTTTCTTCTTTATTTTGTGCTGAGTCACTTATCTCGTGCTGACTTTATCTCCCAGCTCCTATCCATTCTCAACTTTGTCCCAGTGGTTGGGGCCCTGCACTTGCCCTGCCACAGTGTGATCAAAAAAATTTAATAAACATAAGGAGAATAAGAATAATAAAAGAACAATGATGGTGAGAGCAGCTGTTTTGCCCCTTTCCTGTTCACCCAGTTCTGTTCCCTTCTAACCTTAAAAGGACCTAGTTACAGGAAAGAGATCACTAAGCCATTGAAATGAACTCCGGACTTAGGCTCTCCTGAATGCACACCATGCTTTGCCTAACCTGTTGATTCTTTCCCTAGATAAAAAGAAGTGTAAATGAAGAATTATACAGTTAACAAAATGACTAGCTCTCTACCCCCAAGCAAATACTGCAGGCAGATCATACAGGCAAGATAATATCTGAAGAGTCAGCCAGCCTGTGCTCATGGAGAATGATGTAGAACTCAACCTCCTACCTGGATGATTCACTGGGATGCTTCCCCCTCTCACATTTTCCCCTTTAAAAATTGTCATGGCTGAGCACAATCTTCAGAGCTGGTCTCTGGACATGAATCCACCTTCTCCCAGGCGGCTGGCTTTCCTTATCAAAGCACCTTTCCTTTCTACTAACACTTGTCTCTTGAATTACTGGCTTACCAGCTGAACCCAGGTTTGGTAAAAGTGGCATATAGGAAACTCCCAAATAAATGTTAGCTATCAGCCATCATTAACTGTTTGAGACCTTTATAAATACCAGTTTCATATGGCTCAACCCAGTTTTTTATTTATTTCCCAGTGCATATATTATTTTGATAAAAATTTTAAAAACAGGTAAACAAGAGGAAAGGAATATGACAAAACATTTACAATAGGTATCTCTGGATGAGAAAATGCTTTCTAGTCTATTCTAAAAGTTCTTCTACAGTTTCTAATTTTTCTAATAACTAGCATGAATTATCTTATAATCAAAACTTTTTAAAAATTAAATAAAATGATTCCACTAAAGGAAAAAAAAGTAAACAAAACACTGCAAAATGTATACTTATGTAAGAATATTTTAATCTTTAACATGATTTTATTAAAATACCATGAACAAATCTCATCAGAAAAACATTGTGAAAACTTGTGGAAGTTTATTTATTTGCATTAAATAGTGACCAGGGACCAATATTAACAAATTATTTAAAATATTTAACTTGTATGGGTACCATTTCCACTTGTGTCTAAGAAGTTTTCCTTTGCCCCCATAAAAACTATTTCTATACTTATTTTAGCCATTTAACATAGTATAGAGAAAGAAAAGAATTCAGAGGCAAGCAAATCCTTTAGCACATCACATTCTTTTCCTTTTTATTCCTGAGGCATTGTGTTTCAAAACATCAATCAGTGCCATCTGCTAAGTATAAGACTGTAATTTTAACATTCCTCTAATTTTTAAAATTCTTGCCTTAAGAAAATTGACTTCCAGAGTTTCTTAGGATGAGGATGGTGCTAAAACACAAATCTAGGAATCCCTCAAAGAATTTTACAGTCTAGTATTCCTCATATGTGGGTCTGCTCCATACTGCCTTTAAAAAGTATCTACTTATAAGGATTCACACTTTTCTTGGTTAAAGATGAATTCATTATTGGAACTGTTTCTTTGCCTAATGAAGTCAAATTATAACAAGGATTGAGTTGAAACCAGTCCCATTTTCGTACTATTTCAGAAAGTTTTACAAGCTGAAGGACAAAAGAAACATAAATAATTTGTATAGCTACAAACTAAAAACCACAAAGATAATCCATGATAGAAGAGGAATAGTGTTCATGCAAGTCCAAGAATCTAGTACAGATCACTAGAGTGAACATTAAAATCTTCTAGATTAAGGGAGACTAAAAAGATTTAATTTAATACATGTAGATTCCTTTGCTATATAGGACATTAGTGGGGCAACTGGTGAAATATGAATAGGGCCCCTGGATTAGGTCATAGTTCTGTTCAGTTGCTCAGTCTGTCTGACTCTTTGCGACCCCATGGACTGCAGCACGCCAGGCCTCCCTGTCCGTCACCAACTCCCAGAGTTGACTCAAACTCATGTCCATTGAGTTGGTGATGCCATCCAATCATCTCATCCTCTGTCATCCCCTTCTCTTCCTGCCTTCAATCTTTCCCAGCATCAGGGTCTTTCCAAATGAGTCAGTCAGGTCATAGTGCAGCATCACTACTATTTTTTTTTTTTGATTTGGACACAATCACAGAAAACTAACCAATCTGATCACATGGATCACAGTCTTATCTAACTCAGGGAAACTATGAGCCATGCTATGTAGGGCCACCCAAGACAGACGGGTCATGGTGGAGAGTTCTGACAAAATGTGGTCCACTGGAGAAGGGAATGACAAACCACTTCAGCATTCTTGCCTTGAGAATCCCATGAACAGTATGAAGAGGCAAAAAGATGTGACACTGAAAGATGAACTCCCTATGTTGGTAGGTGCCCAATATGCTACTGGAGAAGAGTGGAGAAACAACTCCAGAAAGAATGAAGAGGCTGAGCCAAAGCAGAAACAATGCACAGTTGTGGATGTAACTGGTGATGGAAGTAAAGTCTGATGCTATAAAGAAGAATACTGCACAGGAACCTGGAATGTTAGGTCCACGAATCAAAGTAAATTGGCAGTGGTCAAATAGGAGATGGTGAGCGTGAACACTGACATTTTAGGAATCAGTGAGCTAAAATGGACCCAAATGGGTGAATTTAATTCAGATGACCATATATATATGGTTATACATATATACACACACACATACATACTACTGTGGGCAAGAATCCCTTAGATTTTTGCCTAAGGGCAAGACCCTTAGGTCTTTTCAATTGAGTCAGCTCTTCGCACTAGGTGACCAAAGTATTGGAGTTTCAGCTTCGGCATCAGTCCTTCCAATGAACACTCAGGACTGATCTCCTTTAGGATGGACTGGTTGGATCTCCTTGCAGTCCAAGGGACTCTCAAGAGCCTTCTCCAACACCACAGTTCAAAAGCATCAATTCTTCTGTGCTCAGCTTTCTTTATAGTCCAACTCTCACATTCATACATAACTACTG